CGGTGCCTCTGGTCTGCTGGGGACCATCTCCAGCAGACCAGGGACACCGGGAGCAAAGGAGGCGGAGGGGCGCTGGGGTATAAGATGAAACCCTATCTTTTAATTAAAAAGATAGGGGGTCGTCTTATACGCCCAGTCGCCCTATACGCCGGAAAATACGGTATTTCTAATGTAACCTGTGGCTTTAGTAGTTAAGTGACCAGCACATAATCTTGTCCTACCACCATCTCCAGCAGACCAGGGACACCGGGAGCAAAGGAGGCGGAGGGGCGCTGGGGTATAAGATGAAACCCTATCTTTTAATTAAAAAGATAGGGGGTCGTCTTATACGCCCAGTCGCCCTATACGCCGGAAAATACGGTATTTCTAATGTAACCTGTGGCTTTAGTAGTTAAGTGACCAGCACATAATCTTGTCCTACCATTTGGAAGACAGCTCTCTCTGCAGACATGAAGAGGAACAGAGACATTGGCTTACATAATGAGGGGCCAATTGGCTGCGGTGGAGGGGAACTAGAATCTTTCCCTTCCCTTAGTCAGCCCAGCTGGCAGCGTGGGGACGGCCCTTACCTCTGAATGCGGATGCTCTGATCTTGATGGCCCTGGGTTGCTATCATCACGTCAGCCTCATCCAAGACAAAAACTTTAATCTTCTTGGGGTCTATGAATTTCAGTTTGGAGCACCAGTCCAGGACAGTGCCAGGGGTGCCAATGACAATCTGCTCAGAGATCTTCTGACCTCTCTCCACTGTTCGTAGACAGACAGAAAGGCTTTCATGAAATCTGGGTGGACAGCGCTCCCAGGAGAAGATGAATGCTGCATCATTGTGTATGTTACTCCCCCACAACCCCACCCTCATCCTCAGAGGTCTTTCCTTGCCCTGGAGACTGACTTTTTTGAACAGAACAGTCCCATTAGTTCCAGAGCAACAGATATCATTCCAGCCTCTATAGGGAAGTTCTGCAGCATCCAACTTTGCTTTCCTGGTGTTACCCTCCTCTTAGCAAAACAGCTTATTGGTCACAACACTAACCCCTTATGAAGCACACAGGATCCACCATTTCCCCCAAACTTCATGAATTTAGCAGTTCATATAAAACAAAGAGTCCTGTGGCATCTTAAAGACTAACATTTAAATCTGTTAGTCTCTAAGGTGCCACAGGACTGCTTGTTGTTTTTAAAGTTACAGACTAACCCGGCTCCCCTCTGATACTTGTCACCAAGTAGTATCTGTAATTATCTGCTAGGCAGATTGCACCAGCAACCCATAATATGAAAGATCTACTTGGACAAAACAGATCAGCCACCAAAAAGGCTCGCCAGTGACCTTCCATTTTACAGAAAATACCTGAACTTTGGAACCGTCTCAGAGGGGTAGCAGTGTTAGTCTGTAATTTTAAAAACAACAAGCAGTCCTGTGGCACCTTAGAGACTAACAAATCTATTTGTAACCAAGGTGGTGGAGGAAGAAACTCCAGTAAAACTGTTCAACTCTCATTCCATGCACAACTGGGGGCTTCCAAATGAGAAGTGCCATTACACTAGCTCATGTTCTGTGCAACACTCAGACCTGATAGAATCTGACTCCAGGCCAACTGTGCTAAGAGTACCTGATGTCAAATCCAGTATGATCATTTGCAAATTAAGAGGAACCCCCCCCCCCCCCTGAAATTCTCGTAAATCTATTTCATTCAAAAAAGAGGTAAGTTTCCCTGCTTAGATCTGCAAGAGGGGCATATTTTCCCTCATACTTACATTTGTTGCCCCGGACAGCATACGCAAGTCTAAGCTCTGGATGAAACTTTCCCATCTGTTCAATTACTTTTCCTGTTTGAAGTGCCAGTTCATATGTTGGGGAAAGGCACAGGCACTGGAAAGAAAGCAGATAAGAGTATATTAGCCTGTCACAGTTTCCTGTGAAATACATTTAGTTGTGAAACTTCACCTCTGTGCAAATAGAAGACCAAGATTTTAGGATAAAACACTTAGTGAAATTTACGTGTAACATTAACAGTCATCAGCTGAACAGTATTTTTACTAATTCTCCCAATTAAAGGAAGTTCGTTTGAATGTGCAGTGTTGTTTACCAATTAGTTTTGTGTGGCTAGTACATTTTGTATTGTGCACATAAGCATGTGACTGGAACATCTTACTAAGAACATAGATACTCAGATACTAAGAACAAACAAGTGCTATATTAACAGATGCATAAGGGATATTTCTAATGGTCATAGCTCTAAATGGAGAGAAAAGTGATAGAAATGTAGCCGTGTTAGTCTGGTGTAGCTGAAACAAAAGACAGTACTATGTAGCACTTTAAAGACTAACAAAATGGTTAGCTGATCAGCTGCTTGTCGGCTCAGCGGGGCAGCCATGTAAATTTAAATGAAGCGGTGATTATTTAAATCGCCGCTTCATTTTACAATGTCCAGTAGCCTAATCTACATGCCTCTGTCACCAGAGGCATGTAGTCTAGATGTACCCTAAGCCCCGATTCCTTTGTGTTGGGGCGCTAGGCTGGGCATCAATACAAACTGAACAAGGCAAGAGAACGATTCAACATTTCATATACTTGCCACTTCTCCAAGCTCCTCACATACAGGTGGTTCGTCAGTACAGATCCTTACCCTTACAAGCCCTGCTCCCACCCCAACACAACCTCACCCCACTCTCCATCCCAACACAGCTGCTCACTGTACCCTGATTTGGCTCCTCTTTACAGGCCACAGAAAGACAGGGGAGGGGGAGAAGGGAGGACAAGAACAGGGCTGGTCAGGGGAGCTGGGAGAACCCAGTACCTCTGTACAAAAGAATCAGCTTCTTCAGCTCTGCTGCCTCTGCTCCCCAATGCTTAGACACCACAGCACACTGGGAAGCTGAAGCTGTGTAGCTGTTGCCAGAGTCTTCTCACTAGATGGCACTGCACTACAACTAAAAACCAGCACAAGCATTAGATTCCAGAAGCCTCTACCTGTGGATACTTGTTCCCAGGTTCGACTCGACTGAGCATGGCCAAGACGAAGGCAGCTGTTTTACCAGTACCAGACTGGGACTGTGCAATCAGGTTCTGTGGGCTGGATCAACACATAAGGGGATATTTCAAACACGTTGGCACAAGGTTAAACAATCCATTATATGACTAAGTAATATGGGGGAAAGGATGAATTGGGGGCAGGGCAGAGCAGAGGTGGGGACAGGGCCTGCAGTGGGGAGGGGGAGAGCTGCCCTAGGTCCTACACCTGGGAAACTGGGGGGAGGTGCCCCAGACCCCTTAGGGATGGCCCTACAGGCTTGTCCTTGCTTTAAGTCCAAGATACATTCCAAAAAACTTGAACTTATAGTGAAACAACTTAAAGCAGGGAATTTTTTTCCGATAGCTGATTTCCATTTGCGCAAATCGGAGTTTTAATTTGGCACGACTTAAGGGTGGGGAAAGGGAGGACTTCTAATGCATCAGTTCCTACAAGCATTTCCAACTTTAGAGTGGAACGGATGTATAGCGGGGCGACAGAGCGGGGATGCCCTGTATATGAGATACACAATTGTGGGACTTGGCAACACAGCTTGAATTAACTGAATTGCAGCCACAGATTAGTTTGGATGCAGCCAGTCCCTTAAGTCACCGTCTAGCTTCATAAGGGCAGGACTACATAAAGGGGAGGACACAAATGAATTTCTGTAGGGAGCACCCATCGTGGCACAAGAAGCTTTTCTGCAGCATGGGGATTTGAAGGGAAAGTTGCTGTGATGCTGCAATAGTTTTCCATATTGCTCACCTCCCCCTAGTGTTAGCTTCACTACTCCATGCCCTTCACCTTAAGGGCACTGATATGATCCATGGCATTCTGACTGCTTGGACCTGTCCAGGAGTGCCGCAGTGCTGTTACGTAACAGCCTTATTAAGCCTCCCCTACATTGACAAGAGGATCAATTTTCCTGCTGCCGAGAGGTGTGGCTGAATATGCAGTGCAAGCCTCGGAAAAGGTGGCTTACGGGGACCTATGGAAAATTTTGCGGGGAGCCAGCCAGCATTCTAAAGAATTTCAGCAGCAGTGCCCCATGGAAAGGGAGTGCCTTCGGCATCCTCCACACAGCCACTAGTCTGCTTCAACCCCACTTCAAGCAGGCCTTCCCCTACCCAGGCTGCTCACAGTTTAATAGTACATGAGCTCTCCTGTCCTCTGCACTTCCCAGGAGAAGCAGAAAGCATGGGGGCAGAGCATTCTCCTGTATTTTCGATGGTCGGTTGAAGCCCATGGCATAGACACCCTGCAGGAGCTGGGGTTTCCTAGAAAAAGAAAGAGTAGAGTGTTTCTGAGCTAGTAAAAAACAGCACTAGAACCAGGCAGTGAAGTCAATGGTGGAGTTTCTGATTGCAAACAGAGCAAGGCAGAGCCCCTGAAAAGCAAACCCTAACAGCCCGTAGACCTGGGGCTATGTCTCTACTAAGTTTAACGTGGCAAGCCATTTCTTCTCCACATTGCTAACAAAAAATAAGTAAACAACAAATGGTCTGGTAGCACTTTATAGATTAATAAAACATGTAGAAAAGAAGTAGTCCATCTGTTAGCTTGTGCACACCCTAAAAAGAGAAATAGAGTAGAACCTTATTTATACAGTTTAATTGGGACTAAGGCCACATCAGTCGATGAAAACCCAGTCTGGTTCCAGGAAATACTGGGTTCACACATGTTAACCCCAAAAGCGAAATGATCCTTTGATAGGCCACTAAGTACTGTATTTTGCTCTGAAGGGAGCTGGTTTATGTGCCCTCTTGTGATATCAAGAACAGATGTGAAAATAGTGTCTCTGCTTCCTAATCTGTTTAGATAGAACGTTTGATCTTGTATTTCTGTTCTGCTGTCCTGAGTTTCATGGGTACAAAGCTGTGTTGTGGATGAGGAAATACAGTAGAACCTGGTTTATCTGATCCTCCCTTAACTGGCTCTCTGTGGCTGTGTCTAGACTACACCTCTCCGTCGACAGATATAGATTAGACACGTCAAATTGCTAACGAAGCAGGGATTTAAATATTCCATTCTTCATTAGCATAAACTTGGCTGCCACTTTTTTCCCCGAAACGGAGCGCTTTTTTTGGGGGGGAGGGGGGGGAGGGGGGCAACAACCCAGCAGTCGAGACACGGATCTGTCGAAAAATAAACCCTTTTTCGAAAGATCCTGTATTCCTCAAAAAATGAGGTGTACAGGATCTTTCAAAAAAGGGTTTATTTTTCAACAGATCCGTGTCTAGATTGCCTTTTTTTCTGAAAAAGCTCCATTTTGGAAAAAAGCAGCAGCCATGTTTATGCTAATGAAGCACTAGATATTTAAATCCCTGCTTCATTAGCTATTTCGATGCGCCTTATCTACATCTCTCTGTCAACAGAGAGGTGTAGTCTAGACGTACCCTGCATTTACCAAACCACCAGACTCCAGTGCCAGAAACGAAAGATGTCTCCTATGGCCACTAGATAGCACTGCAGCATTGCATGTTCCCATTCGCCAGGCTGGATTTTCATGGACTGATGTGGCCCTAGTCATGCGTACCCATGAAACTCAGGACCACAGAACAGAAATGGAACCCTGGAGCCCTGAAGATACAACAAGACCCTCGGAATCAAACATTAGGAGGAGTCACTTGAGATTCCAATATACACTGACAGGCTCTAAATCTACAGTAAACTTCTGATAATCCGACACCTTTAGGACCCAGGGGGCGCAGGATTATCAGATATGCCAGACTATCAGAAGGGGGGCTATGAAGGGTCTGGGGTGGAGTGGGGGGGTGATGCGCCCCTCGGCGCTGTAGGACCAACCCTGCAGCACCCCAGCTGCTCTGCCCCAGGCATCCCCAAGTCAGCTGCTTCCGGAACTGACCAGCAGCTGACTCGGGGAAGCCGGGGGCAGAGCAGCTCCAATTGTCTGGCTGCCCGGAGCACTTCTGGGTTCCAGATGGCGCCAGACCATCAGGAGTGCTGGACCACTGGAGTTTTACTGTACTAACCATTCAAGAAAGCATTCCAAGCCTCAATGTGGACAGCTCACTTAAAATCTCTGCACAGCATGTAGCAGTAATCAAGAGATGCAAACATGTCAGGATGTACAAAGAACAGGACAGAAAACAATTCTAAAAATGAGATCATGCCTTGCTATAAAACAATAGTGCATCCACATCTGGAACAGTGTGTTCAGGTCTGGTCATCCGGTGCCTAAACTAGCAGAAATAGGGAGTGTCAGAGACTAAACAGATTGGGACATTAAGGTTAGAGAAGACCTGAGGCATATAAAATGAGATAGAGGAGGTAAGTCAGGAGCTTTTATTGACCCTTTCAATACAACAGCAAGGAAACACTTAATAAAAAGACCAGAAATTTAACTCCCAGATAAAAGACAACATTTTTTACAACACAATTAACATGTGGAACTCTGTCATGAGGTATCATTGACACTAAGACCTTCACAAATTAAATATGTATATGATTGAGAATATGGTGTCCATTATATAGGATGAAGGCAATTTTATAAAGCACATAAACCTTCATGATTTGGGACGCAAGCCAGCTGCTAAGGATACATCTGCACTGCAAAAAGGACTATGGCAACAAGTCTTAGAGCCTGGGTCAACTGATTCATCTAGCAGGACCTGGGCTACCAGGCCCACTGAAGGGGGGAAGGAGGAGCAGCGGCAAAGGAGGCAACTGCCCCGGGGCTTAGGGTTCCCAAATGCTGCCGCCACAGGGCTTTTTAATTTGCTGCTGGAGCCCCACATGGTGCGCTCAGGGCAGTGCTTAGGGCTGCCTGGGGGAGACTCGTTTCAGTCCCGGCCCCTTCCACATGAGGCCCTGCCCTTTCTGGGGCACCGAGTCAACCTCGCCCAGGAGCCCGGTGAGACTGTTGGCCTCACTGTGCGCTACACAATTAAAAACAACCACGAAACCCATCAAGGAAGAAGGTCTCAGAACCCAAGCCCAAGGGTCTACATTGCTACCTTTAGCTCCAGTGTAAGCCCATGATAGCTGACCTGGACTCAGACTCACTGCTGCAGGTCTTTTTTTTTCCAGCGTAGAAATACCCTAACCTAAGTGATGGCATTGGGAAAAATCTGCCCTATGAGCAGGCGCTCAGTTCACAGGCTACCTTCCTGGTCTTTGAGTGTACCACTTGTACATTTAGGCCTTCAGCAGTCACCTCACACAATTCTCCTGCTTCAGTTCTGGGCTGCAGTCCCTTGCGTCAACTGTGATACCCTCAGCAGGTCTGACTTACGTTCAGTATCTGCAGTATTCTGTTCACTCTGGGAGAAATGACAGTTGGGAACCAGAAACCAAACAGCCTCCATGCAGCAAATCTTATTGATTTAGAACAAGAGCATTTAATAGGATACAGATCTTAAAAAAAACATACCATACTACAAACTTGCCTTCCCTAAAGCTTCCCATTCTCTACATGTAGAGAAGGCCTCATTTGCTTTCAGGCTCTCCTGCGGGACCAATCTGTTCCCACCAGAAACAGCATTTTGACAAGTGACCCTTCCTCTCCTCAGAAGGCTGCTTACTGTCCTTTTAAGCTCTAGTTCTCATCCTGGTAAAACAGCTATGGCACTTTGGCCTGGTGCCTGGAAGCATGCCATTGTCTTGCTTATCTTGGAAGCAGATTACATCTGACCAAACACCTGGAATGGCACTGTTGCCCTCATACAAAAAGTCTTATAATTTAATTAATCTATACTATTATAAAAGAAGAGGCGTCCGTCCTGCAGTCTGCCACAGAGAACAGACTTCTCCCAAGACTCCCCTGCTTCTGGCAGGTCCTGAGGCACTGGGCGCAGGATGGGGAAGGTGCAGCTCAGGCACTTTCACATTCCCACCAAGTTGCTGGAGACCAACCAGCTGCCGCCAGGTAATGGCGCATTCCCTCCCTGGTAATGCAATCCGCATGCTGCTCCAGCGTCATGGCCCAGTCCGTCATGCCTGCCCTGAGTGCGCTGCGACCGTGAGCTTAATACAGCGCAGGCATTTTTGGGGTATATGACCCTCGCCCAAGCACTTTACGCACATTGAGCATCATGACACTGTGAGCATTTCTTGAAGCCAGGAGACCCCGGCATCCTGACAGAGAAAAAAAAATTTTTTTTTTTAAAAATGAACTATTAAAACTAACGAACGAACTTTCTACACTAATTAACAACTAACAAATTCTAAGAAAAATTCAACAACTTTTGTCTGACAGAAAGAGAGGGAGTTTGCTCCGCCTGTGACCGTGGACGGTTAGGAGGAACTGGCGGGAGCCGGATCGCGCGCAAGCTCACAAGCGGCTCGAACAGCATGCGCCACAGCGCATGCACGGTCAGGCTGAAATACAGCTGACAAGTCTCCAACCTGCGGCGCCGGGACGAGCCCAACACCTGAAGTGGAGCACCTACGGGGACACTACCCGAAGAAGAAACTAGGGATGCGATAGTGTATGATGCCAGGGCTCATCGGTTAACCCTCATGGTTAGACGCAGCCTCCTCCGCGCCTCTCCTGGCACTGCTGCCTCTGTATCAGACGCCATAAAAAAAAAGTGCAGCCCTTGACCGCTTACTAAAATCTTGGAGTCATCCCCCACCAAAATTATTGCCTGCCCCGGTACAAAACAGACTAATGATCCAATGTAGCATGGCAATTCCTCTGTGAGCCCTATCAGCTGTGTCTTAACACCACAGTTACCAGCCCTGCCAGGCATGTTACTCTGAAAGGAGGTACCAGAACAGGAAGAAGTTTGATGTGATTGCAAGGGCCATTTAACATGATTTTGTAAATGTCACTTAAAATTTTTCATTTTTGATGTTCAGCTCTAAAATTAAGCATAACTAGGAGAAAGAGGGAAGTTATGCTAAGCTCAGTTCAGCATACGTTAGGCTATTGATTTGTACACCACTATCCGATGGCACTCAGGTGCAGTGGTGACATCTGCCATGTTCAATTGTTCCAGGTTACTAGCTGCTTCTGTTAACAAGGCACTCCTAAATTGTTAAAGAAAGCTTTCAAGTCACAGCAGACACTTGTATCTAAGGAGACTCATGAACAACCTAAAATTAATGTTAAGATATTTGTATTTGGAAATTCTCAACCGATGACCTTTTTAACTGCTTCTTGTAGCTGTTAATGTTGCTTAGCAGCAAGTTCCAAAACACAAATAGCTGTTTTCCTGCCCACACCTTCCTGCTTGTTGAACCTTTCTACTTGATTCAATATCCTTTTCAAGAAGCCTGTATTATTTGTAGTCTATGGCTCAAACAAAAGCCC